CTCATCGTTCTGTTCTTTAAAAGTGGGTGTTCCAGTCATTTAGTGGAGATCGACTGCACAGAGCCTTACATGGAAGAATAATGTGCTTGGCTCAGTTCAAAAAATCCACCAGGCTATGGACTGAGGTCACCGGTGATCACAGGGCACTCTTTTTTGTGGTTCAGTTCTGGATTTTTGGAACTCCTCCAAAACGCTTGAAGAGTTTTATCCGCTGATGTTTTCGATCTCTGTGCAAGGATGGTTACTTCTGCTTCAAAATCTTTCCCATTATGTTTGTGTCCTATGCGCGCTTAGTGGACTACTAGAATTAACCTTACGTTTACCGCCTAGCTGTTTTTTATGCTCATAGTGATGTACCCGTTTCGCCAGTGAATTCTTCCCCGCATACTCTACAAGGGTAAATGGAACCTTATTCTCGCCAGAATTACCGTTTAGGAGCGTTGTTTTTGCTCTGCAGCTATTCCGAGGAGTTTTCCTTCCTGTGCACAAACTGGTGACTGATATAAGCATGTTTTTCTTAAACAAAATGTTTCCCTTTTCGTGTGTGAGAGGTGCGAGGAGAGGTAATGAACCAGTATGTTTTTGTTACTTGACATTCTGCACCATTTGATAATTAACCTTTTTCGGAAAGGTTAATTTGAACTTTCAAAAATGAAAATTGGTTTTCTTCCGGTTTTTCTCGAGTAAAAATAATGTGCTCTAATTGTCCTTGCTTACTTGGATACCCGGATGGCCCGTCTTCACTTTTGTGTGGGCCCTAGCACAGTTTCCGTCTTTTTGGAGTTTTGCTTGTCTAGCTACTATGGTTCCGTCGAGTCCTGAGGCCAGTCTGGTCAAAAACTGCCTCAGGTTTTCACCACCACAGCCACAGTTGCCGCCCTTCTGTATCAGAGGGAGATTTGCCACCATGCGATTAGTTTCATACCAGGACAATGGTGTATCCTGGTATTGGTTTACTCTTAACTGGGATTCCTGATGGAAATGCCGGACTCCTTCTCAGTTTAGGAGGCCCTATTGGGGGATGAGTCCTTCCGCTGTAGGTAGTAGTCCGACATCCAGGAACACCTCCCAGCCACAATGAGGCGGTAAACCGTTGGAATGTATTCTGATTGTTAATACAATAACTCGAAACATTTACCTATTTCATTCTGTGTGGGAAAGAAGACAAAACAATAATCTATACATTTACAGTATAGTTAAGCCAGGTAATAAAAACGTACAGGTTTGTTACGCTTGACACACAAAAAGGACGCTTGTGAGAAACCCGTTTCGAACAGCCAACAGCGTCGGAGGGGAGCAGAAGGAAGAATCCTCAAAATTGACGTGGTAAATAGCGATTTCTAATGTTTACGAAACTGTACCTTTTTGGGATAGGTGTAGAGCAAAAGACAAACCCCCAAACGACAATTCTAGAGATAATAACGTCCAGTTTATCACACACTTCATTTGCAACGAAATAAATGTAGCCATGAGACATTGTTTAAAAAGGGCATGTCTAAAGAATTTGGCAACAATTACTGAAATACCACCGAGCACTTTAAGTAGTTAGTTCGTAACCGCCTATATCGCCGTCTATGCACAGATCAAAATGGCATGATATGCCCTAACAGTGGTCATGTGATCATGAGTCAGATACGGTGTACCTAATCTTTTGTAAAGCGTGTAGAGACAAATACATTGGCGAAACTAGTAAACCACCCTGCGTCCATATAAAGGAACACCTAGGCGGAAAACAAACCAGTTCGGTCGTAGATGCGCATGAGGAATAAACACATAACGGGGAAGATTTGGAAGTAGAAGTTACCGTTCTTATGCAGGAATCGAAAACTTCATCAGATAAAGCCCTCGAAACATTTCCGATAAATTTCAGAAATTCAAAAATGGACAGTATGGAGGAATGCCTTATTACCACATGTACCCTCGCGTCATACTTCAGACTGATTTTTTTGCCTGAACCCGGAGTATTGCTCGCCCTTGTAAGACTCTGTGCAACTGCTCTCCACTAAAAAGCTGAAAGCCTTGCTAACAACAAAACACTGAGCGTTTAAATGAGGTTGTTTGTCATACGGATGGAAATTTATGTGTTAAATTACAGCTCCTGGGGTTACGAAAGTATTTGACTGAGTAGATTGCATTTCAATTTGACCCTTCCAAACTCTGAAGAAGGTGAAACCTGCAGAAAGTTAGCCATTGTTAATTAATAAATGCTGTAATAACAAACTCCTGTAACAAATAACAAACATCAAGAAGGTGAATTATTGATCCATACCGAGGTAAAAAGAAAGTAGGCCCTGGGATTTGCTACATGAAATCTTTGATGAATCATTTTTCGGTGAGCTGGCAAGACACTTTAAACAGAACGTACGTTCCACAACGACTAACGTATCGAAGAACTTCATGTGAGCTGTTTTTTCTATCGTTCACTTTTTCTAGGGTACACATAGACCCGTATAGCGTTCACGTAAATTTCCGTGACATTTAGGTATGCCGTACAGGTTACGTTACAAACTATTAAAAAAACAATGAATGCCAGCTTTTAGCGATTTTCAGTATTTTCGAAGAAACAACGGTCACGAAAAATGATACATAAAATATATACTGTAACGAAATAATATAATATAAATCTAAATGAATCTAGAATTTCATTGTGAGAGATACCAAGCGATGAACTACTAGTAGTTCTCAGAAGAACCTACTACAATTTAGATATTGGTACAAATCTTGAAGCTTCAAGTATCATATGCGGTTCAGAATCTAGAAAACAGTAGGTCTTGGACAATCTTTACGACTTTCCGCTGAATGCTCAGCATGGCCGTCGGATCCGTTGAAGCAACAACATCAACGCACAGACTAACACCAGCAATTCGCCGACACACCTGAACATGGGAAGGGTCGAGTACATGTCGCCTGCTGATTCAGAGGGAACACGATTAATATTAATATTCTCTCAACCGATTCACTCCAATATGCCAGAGAAAATGAGCAATTTTGCTCTGGTTATCTTCTATTTGTTTATAAAACTGTTGTGGTGCAGTGAATATCTATGCGGTTTAGAAATATTCACTTTAAATCAAAAGACATTCGAGAAAGCCACTTCGTTGCTCATAAAAATCTCGTGGAAACTGTTATTTCAACTGGCAAAGATGTAACCGTCAATTTGAAAACTGCCGGAATTTGAACAAGGACCAGTTAGAGAATGGGTCGCACAATGTAGCGTGGCTTAAAAGTGTACCCACATGGTGAAAACAATTCTTCGATAGTGTATAACTCTATATCACTTCTATCACTTATAGCAATCCCTTCACTCTTTTCGTGATTCCAAGGGCATCACTACAGTTTAGATTGACCCTGTGACGCACAATATCTATGAAGCAGATCCACTTCACTAGTTTCGGACTAATTTGCTGACCTCGGAAGGGTGGAGAGCTTTGTTAGTCCGGGCATGGAATCGAACAGTCGACCCCGCACGTATTGTAGGGCACCTTTAGCTAGTGCGCTTATCCACGAGTAGTTACGCGTATGCTGTGAATGTAGCACCGAAGCAGTTGTCAGAGTTCTTCACGAAAACCGTAAAAGAAGGATTTCATGCTCATCGATTCCCTAGAGCAAGCAGAACGCAGTGGGCTACTCTTGCACACGGCAGGGAGAAATGGAAGCTTTACTGGCGCTCGCACAAATCATTCGACGATCAACGGAACGACAAGTGATACAGGCGATACTGTAGATGCAAGATGATTGATTCATTGCAGTGCAACAGACCCAGAATGTCCGTCACATTATGCTAGTTTGTCGTTCCGTTAAGAATATCATTGCTTTTCGTCGGTGTTGAAGGCTTCACACTCCAGATGAGGACTTGACATAAAATAATAAAAAATAAACCTCTCGGTGTTGATCACTCCCTGAGGGACGCGCCATGCATTCGACTTCATTGAATATCGTTTGGAGGTGTTTGAACGCATATCTGACCTTTACAATGAGTCACAGTGGCCTACCGTTGTATTGCGCAAATGCTATCATCCTCCCAGACAAGTCTGGCACCACTTTGCCGATCCCAGAGGGATGGAAGGCTTGATGAGCCATGAGCGCGGGGACCGATTCCACGTGTGTGTTGCAGGGCGCCTCCGACCACTGTGCCACACGGGCCCTTAGGACTCGGCATATCGGTGTAATATAGGTATACATATACATACATATATGTACATAAGTGTATATATATGTCAATCACCAATATATAGGTTGACACATATCAACAAATCGATTCAAGATACGCTAGATCAGTTGGGAAAGAATGTAGCACTGTATTATATGTGAAATATAAGTACCATTAAATAGGTAAACTTTTCTTTTACCAGACCAGACGACACAATTCACATTGAGCAGTTCACGTCACTTCTTGCATTAATTCGTTTCTCCGGATCCACGGTCACGAAGACCTTCGAATTTTGTAAATTTGGCTGAGGTTTGAGGATTTTCGTTTCCATCAAGAATGTCTTTGAATGCTGTCGATTCGATTTTTACAGAGATAACCGTAGTAAGCCGTTCACAGATAGACTGGAGAAGGTGAGCTGGTCCTAGACAAATCTGGTACTAATTTGTCGACCTTGGAGAGATGGGAGGTTCTGCGGTGGTGTCTTGGTTGGTTACGTCTTTCGCGTAATGGAAGGCACCACTACTACTACTCAACCATCCTCCATGAGGTCTTTAACCTCCGAACGTAATGTCGTAACAAAGGCCATTTGAATATTCATACTGTCAAAAAGCAGATCAAGGTAACCACAAAAGACACCTGCTATCCGGAGCTTTGTAAATACCTCAGCATCATTATCGTCGCATTTCACATAATACCCTGCCATGAAAAATTGTGTTAGGCAGTAAAATAAAACGTTAACATTGCAGATCAAAGCGTCCCTCAACTAGAATGTAGGACAAGACCATAATATTTCATTTTGAATAGGCCGTTAGGGTCATTTGTAAACTCAGTAGTTGTCATTTCTTACTTGTTAGTCATTTTGAAACCAAAGTTTAGACTTTTCTATGAAGCTATTGGTGAAGTAAAATTTACATAAAGACAGTTTAGCTCTTGTTCCACATTTACACCGAAATAGATAGACTAAAACGGTATAATTTCGACAGTCTATCACAATAAGCAGTTTACTAACCTGCTGATATGGACACTCGGCGTTGCTATTGCAGAGTTGATCGTGTCGCGGATCATTCGTTTGCGACTGACGACAGCGAAAAATCTTCAATGCGGGGAATCTTGCCAAGTTCTTCAACACCTATCGTGTTCTATGGCAACAGACCTTCGCCTTTTTCGGACCGGCAATGTTCATGCACTTTTTGCCTCCTGAACATTCGTAGTCGTAGACACACGACACGGTACCGAGTGCAGCTTCGATGGACGGTGTGCACACGAACGCACCGGATGCACTGCGACGACATTGCTGAAAGTATAAACCATCCAATCGACAAAGTCATCAGCGAGAAGTATGAAAGCAACTCAAATTATACGAAGAGAATTAAACGAAGAAATGAGATGCCGCCGGGAAAACGCTGCTTATGTGAAGAGGAGTTTGAAAGCAAATGATCAATGAATAAGACAATAGGATCAACAATAAGTAGTGAACATGGTCGAATCTGACAAGTGTAACCTGCACATGCACATGAATGAATTGCACTATAGATAATTACCATCAAAAGAACTTCGTGAGAAACAAAACCTGTTGATGAGTTTGTTGTACAGGAAACCTACTGAAGATACCTGTTGTAAAATAGAGACATGCAGCCACCTAAATGAAAGTCTTACTTGGCCTTGTAGACAGTCAGCATGAAAAATACAAAGACGATCCACTTTGGTGACATCGTATTGGCATACGGTAATGTTTCTATCAACTAATTCGATCACACCCGAACAACTCTCGCCCATACGACACTAAACATAATATATTAATTTCACTGATTCAAAACTGAAGCCCAAGAGACGCAAGCCAGATGTTTTGGCTTGCTAGACTTAGTCTATGCAACACCTTCGTAGTGTAAGCAATTCTAGTAAGCCTATCATCACATTGCTAGCATCTGGGTGAAGTTTTACCGAGAATGTTGTGAACTGTGATTTATTAGAATTATTAGCGACTTAGGTGGCAAGTTTTGAAAAAAGTGGCTACGGGAAAGATTTTGAGAGAAATGACTAGGAGAACCACAATAATTCAAAAAACTGTAATGAAAAAAATTATGCGGAGCTATTTCAGGCGTTTCCACTAACCTGATAGTCGAACTCACATCGTAACGCCGCTGGATCGATGACGGTGTGCTTCGGAACGGGTTGGGCTTCTCTCATCACCGTGTATTTTGTTTTCACTAACGTGTTATCGTTAGGCGAAGGTTCACTTAAAACAGTTAGCACTAAACCAACTTGTTGACGGCCATGACTGCGGATTTCATAATAAGCACTTTTTTCTCATCAATAGAATAAAGTCTATTATTAATAGGACTTTTAAATAGTCGTTTTCATGGAAAAAAACATCCAAAACTGCCAAAACTAGTTACTACTCGTTACTTATGCGATATCAACGCTTATCATGGTGATGGATTTTATCATTACTTGGATACTTAGATATTTGGGCGACCCGCCTTCACTGGTCGCGCGGGACCCAGCACAATCTCTATTTTTCGGTGTTTTGCTGGTTTAGCCATTGTGATTCCCTAAAGTGCCGAGGTTAGCCGTATGAACGTCTGCTCCCGGGCGTCACCACCACAGACTGTCGCCATCCTTGTGGATCAGAACAAGAGTTGCCACCATGCAACTAGTTAGGTTCCACGACGGTGACAGATCCTGGTATTGGTTTACTCTTATCTGGGATTCCTGATGGAAACGCGATGGAAACGCCGGACTCTTCTGAAATTGGGAGACTCTGTCGCGGTGATGAATTCCTGCTGTACATTGCAGCCCGACACCCAGGAACACCTCCCAGCCACGATGAGGGGGTAACCCGCTGGGAGGGAATTCTATCATTATAACGAGTAAATCGAAGGAAAAAACTGGTTCGGTGCAATGGATATTTTCCTACAGCAAAATACCACGGTCTCGAGAAAACAACAATAACGGGTGAAGAGAAAATTAATAGTTCCGGAAAGGCAAGTTTAAAAAATCGAAAATGGCTGACGGTGTTTCAGTGATTGATGTTGAATTCGTAGTAGAATCCATTACGGTCATGTGGGACAGCGTCACAGGATTTCCGTTTTCTAAAAATTATTGTAAGAAATTTCTGTTCTGACGATAGAAATCTCCATGCAGTCCTAAACAATGGATTCCATTACAGAAGCAGAGCTGTCATGAGTGGCTCAATTTTGGGATTGCGCACCTAACGACAGGCATTTCTTGAGCCCTTTGCTCATTTAACCTATTTGGACTTTGACTTGCATGATACAGAAAATCTTGCAGGTCTAGCGTAACTCCTACCTAAACCGTGTTTTGTTGGCAAGAGAACACTTCTTCCTGGAATGCTCAAGTGGGCGTCTTGACGTTTTTCGTTACCACAAGTAGTCGCTGAGCCTCTTTGATCTTCAGGAGACCCAGGTGTGCTCTCGCTATGGCCAAGATGAGGCCAGAAACCACTACTCCATTTACGGTTACTTTTGAAGCTTCGTTTCAGAACTGTATGAAATTGTTTGAAATTACGTATGAAATTTTTCTTACAACGCTTCACGCACAAATAACACCATGAAAATTTTTGGGGGAAGGAGGGGAGGGTGTAGAGCATGCACAGACTTACTCATATAGAACACTCACAGAGCAGAGTGTCAGAGAGAGTTATTAACCAGTTCACACTTCACTCTGCTCCTACATAGACACCCAACAATAGACACAAGCATACCATAAAAGTTGATGTGCTGGAGTGACCATTCGACTATTCGACCGTTTCCGCACAATCCAAGCGAAGGTAACCTCATTCTGCCCACCTACACACTGTTGAGTCTCCATATTCATCGTACTCCTTTATTCTATGACCTATAGGTTCCGACTATTAATCTTTCTTTTCGTTTAGTCAACAGTTGTATAATAGATCTCCCTCCTCACAATACTACACCATATTCTTGAAGCCTCCATGTTATTTTATAAGTGAAATTCTTCTGACGCTCTGCTCTGTGAGTGTTCTATATGAGTAAGTCTGTGCATGCTCTACACCCTCCCCTCCTTCCCCCAAAAATTTTCATGGTGTTATTTGTGC